TTTCTCCTATGCTTTATAACAGCAGTGTTTGTGTTCAGGTGATGACTGCTCCTTGTCCAGCACTGATCTGCCCAGCTCCATCAAGGATAACTTTGAGTCAGGCTGGGTGTCGGAGGAGAGCTGGAGCCTGGTGCAGGGTGGCGGGGTGGGCAGCGGCTGCGGGCAGCTCTCTCCTCATGCCCACGGAGACTCGCTGTACTTCAGCGGCTGCAGGATTCGGCAGGCCGTCACCAAAGCTCTGGATCTGACTCGTGCCAGGTAATCAGGGCTAAGTCCGTGTTCTTCTTTCTCAGAGTCCTAAACCGCCGCCTGACCTGCGTCCTCTGCTCTGCTCTGTCCTCAGCAAGATCATGTTCGTGCTGCAGATCGGCAGCGTCTCTCAGACCGACAGCTGTAACACTGCGCTAGATCAGCCGGACGCCGTGGACCGAGCCGTGCTCCTGCAGTACAGCGTCAATAACGGCGTCAGCTGGCACGTGATCGCGCAGCACCAGCCCAAAGACTTCATCAAAGCCCAGAGAGTGTCCTACAACATCCCGCTGTGAGTTTACACACATTTATCCCTGCCCTTAAGACAGTGAATGCTTGTCTGGAAGGAGGAGATGTTTATTGTATTTAGCAGAGAGCCCTTGGCATCTTCCGGACTGAGACAGCAGGTGAACTGTGTTACAATACTCAAACATGACCTTCAGGAGAACTGGGACCCTCCAGTGTTTACCTTGTGAGCCAGTGTTACCAGTGTCCGCTCTTCACCTTGTGAATGTTGTCCTGAGCAACAGAGCGCTGCTTCTCCAGCCCTCACGCTCTACAGATATTCCCACATCTCCGTTCTTCATCAAGGAGTCTTTAAGTGCCCTTAATTAAACAAGAGTCCTCCACCTTAACTGAAGAACCATAGTGTTAGGACTGAATGAATGTCTGAATGACCTGTGGACTGCTGTCCTGGTCTCCGTCATTACTGAACAGCAGGTAACGTGTGTGTTGTGTGTGCTGCAGTGAGGCGCGGGTCCGAGGCGTTCAGCTGCGGTGGTGGCAGCCGCGTCACGAGGGCACAGGCCACGACCAGTGGGCACTGGACCATGTGGAAGTCATTCTGTGAGTACTCCTGCCTACAGACACCGTATCACAGCTGTGTTTTCTCATTCCTCCATACATCTGTAAGGTCTCACAGCAGAACCAGCATAGCATAAAACTGGCAGATAATAGTTTAATACCAATCAAGGCCAAGCTGAAACAGGACTGACAGCGCTTAAGCGTCGTTCATCATTAATATCATAGTTTCTACACCGTGCTGCACTATCCTGCACACACACACACACACACACACACACACACACACAGTTTCTACACACAGGTCTGCCCCGTCCCGCTCTCTCTCTTGTCCTCACACTGCTCTCTCTCTCTCTCTCTCTCTCCTCCGTCTCCCCGTCTGCCCTCCACATCTCCTCTTCATCCTCTGCTTCTCCTCCTCCTCCTGTGTGTGTGTGTGTGTGCACTGCTGGTTTGCTCCCTGTATCCCCCTGTTCTCCTGCACTGCCTGTTGCTCAGGTCAGGGTTCCTGCACCCTCAGACCCTCAGCAGCATCAGCCCTGTCCCGCATCTTATAACCTGTCCTCTCTTCTGTCTTCTGCTCCCTTTGGCATGGCTGTAGCGCCAGGTAAGTGCTTCGCTGTTCCCTGCCTCTGGCCTTCCCTCACCTCATCGAGCTGTTGTGTGTGTGTGTGTGTGTGTGTGTGTCGCTGTAGACTTCATCCCCACAGTGGAAAACATGATGGAAACAACACATGGTCACGATCATTCAGGCAAACACAGCACAGTTTATTGTCAGACCTGTTGGGTTTCCCGCAGGTGTTATAAGCACATTTCAGTCTAATCTGGAGGGAATAATGCCCTGTGTGTGTGTGTGTGTGTGTGTGTGTGTGTTGTTTCCATCAGTGATTTCCCTGTCTCATACACATCTAACATGAAGACTTTAGCCTGACCCAGCTGGAGGTTCATGTCTCCTGAGGCAGAGCTATCGTTGCATTAAATCTCTTGATCAAGTGTCAGTGAATTACACAGCTGATGAAGTGCCGTCTCTGATGTATGATGCTAAACTCCTCCTCTGTCATTCCCGAATGGCTGGAATGAAAACACGTGGTGCATCATAGCGTAACTTCACGCTGGTAATGAGGGAAAAGGCTTGTGTATGACCTGCAGAAAGGTTTTGTGCTGAACAGTGGATCCAGCACAGTAGTGTTGTCGTCATCCTGCAGTGTCCTGTCATATTATTTGGACAAGCGCCGCTCAGCACATGTGTTTAAATGGGCCAGTCTGATGTGGAGTATTTGTTTGCATGCTCACTCGGCGCCGCTGGTCCCGTAGTGTTAATGGTGTGTGTGTGTCCATGAGCTGTTGCTAACCGTGTGTGTGTGTGTGTGTGGTGGCTGTATCTCCACTAGTCCAGAGACTGACAGATAAGCAGCGCTCGCTCTCACCGGTCCTCCACCCTCATCACCGCTCCATCTCCACCACCCTCCTGTCCCTCATGCTTTGCAGACGCCCCTCCTGATCCTGGCTCATTGGTTCCCACCTGGCGGACAGAAGAGGCAATGACAGGCTAAGCAATAGCGACTCTCACAGTCTTTTCCTTCATTGGTTACTCATTGATTTGACACTGTATGTCTCCTCCTCCTCCTCACAACCTCTCACTGTTCTTCCGTTTGGACTCTCGATTCTTTCCATTCGTCAGTCTTTCCTCGAGCTCCGACCTCAAGCACTACTATCTCTGTCTTTGGCAAACACAAAAGCATCGAGGTGCACTAGCTCCACGTGATGCCGTGATGACAGTGTTTGAGGTTATGAGTGAACGGCCGAGGTGAACTGTAGTAGTGTGTGTACTCCTACAGAAGGCTAGTAGAGAGAGCTTGCACACACCAGAGAGGTCTGCGCTCATGTTTTTAACACAGTGTCCCACACCTCTGTCTGCCTCCATTCACAGCACACGCAAACAGAACTACATGATGAGCTACTCCAGACAGACGGGTCTGCACCACTACTACAGCCGGAAGAGGCGGGCGCTGCGGCAGAGAAGCTAAAGGAACGAAGATCCCGCCGCCGCCGCCATCACACACATCACTCTGCTGGCTACAGTCTGCTTTCCCTGATGAGAAAACACCCCGTCAGGTCACTTCCGTCAGCTTCTGGCCATTCTCTCTCATCCGAACGATACATTGGACCATATAGTCCCATTCCCAGCCAATCAATGCCTTCCCAGAGCAGTGTGATGGGAAAGACCAGCTCCTCAACGTGGCGATTTTTGTACACTATCTTATGAACTGTTGGGTTTCCTGATTCTGTTTACTGTACTGTTGTTTGCATTCTCCTGATGTGAACTACTGCGAAGCTCTCCCGACTCACCTCACCTTCTACCACACTGTGAAGTTATCCCGATGGTTATGATGATCTTTACTCGCGCTGATGTAGATGCAGAGAGGGAAACTGAAGACGACTGATGCCCAAACGCTTTGGTGGATGAAGATATGACGATGTATTTTGCTGTTGTGTGTCTGTGGGTTTGTTTTGTGATGCATTGATTGTGGTGTTCAAATCATTTGTTAGTTTTATACTAACTGCTCTCTTTCGGGCTTTGACCGTACTCCTCTGTGTAATAAAGCACTGCGAGAGGTCGGCCTCGGAGAGGAAAGAGGAAATCAAGCAGAGAAGGAAAAGAAAGAGTGTTTAAACAGAGAGACTAACATGTTTTGTTGTTGTTGATAAATCACTTTTTTATATATCATGGTTCCTTAAGAATATTTATGGTGAATGGTTCTCCACTAAACCTATTTAAAATACACTGTGTACAAATATCTTTGTTTTCTTTCTAGTTTGTTTGTTTGTTTGGGTTGTTTTTAGGTCAGATTATTGGTTGCGATCCTCCCCGTCATCATCAGTGTCCTCCAGTTGTGCTGTTAGACATTCCCTCATATTCGCTCTTACTTTGATTACCTGTCAGTGGTGTTTATGATGTTCCCTTCTCCCTTACTTGGTGTAGCTCTCCAATATAGCAAGTTCTTGTGTGCATATATGTGTGTATATATATGCAGGGATCCATCAGCCTTATAAAAATAAAGAACTGTCCAAACCTCCCGAGGAACTGTTTATTTCTCAGCATATTAATTGATGGTGGTCTGATGTTAATAAGGTTCAGTACTTAAGGTGATGTGTCCACATGTAAAGCAAATCAGAGGATAACGCCATGTTAGTTGTGCCATGCAAACTGTGTGTGTATTTTCTCAGCAAAACACAAGAATTCAAACCAATAATTGCAATATGCTGTTTTAAGGTGCAAAATAAATAAGTGTAAGTCCAGGAGGGGCTGATTAACACACATGCCCAGCAGCGCTGGATTGACCACACCGTTTCCTAATCAGAGAACTAATATTAGCATTGAGCATCGCCTTTTCCTTCTTTATGTTTCAAGTGTCACACATCTTGTTATTTTTGATACGTATGCTCTTATTTTGAAGTGGACAGGCATTATCTGTGGGGTGAGTCAGTGTTTCTCAACCATGTTCCTGGAGGCGCACCAGCACTGTGTGTTTAGGATGTTCCCTTCTGTCTGTCCCACACACATTACTGATCATTCCGTCTCTGCTCATGATCTGAATCAGGTGTGTTTGTTGATGGAGACCTAATGATGTGCAGTGCTGGTGCTGCTCCAGAACGTGGTTGAGAAACACTGGTAATTCAGGGAGAAATGTCTAAAGTAAGCACTGCTAGTAGGAGCTGTCCACAACTCTACAAACAATTACTAAACCAAATCCCTGTGATGCAGACATGATTTGAACACGCAACCTTCTGATCTGGAGTCAGACACGAGACCGGCTACCAGTTTTAAGGGAACCTGAACTCCCTCTGATGAGCTGAATCTCCTACACAATCTGAAATGCAGTCATTGATCTTTATTCCACTTCTCCATCTGCAGAGAGAGAGAGAGAGAGAGAGAGAGAGAGAGAGAGAGAGCTGTCCACACTAACACTATACAGAAGAGTTGACTATTACAGCCTCAGATGTAAAATATGAGTGTCTGTTGTGACGAGTGTTCTTTCCATCATTCACGATAGCATAGTTTAATAACATAAACCACAGTGTGCCTTGCCTAGTTTAGACGTTCATGTAAAACATGTAAGGGACCTGGTGTCAGATCCACCCCTATATTAAACTGCAGAAGTTATTCCTGGTCTTCAGTAATTCTGCAGGCTGACCTGTGGTTTGCTGGAGGGGGAGCGTCCAGTGCTGGTGTTCATCAAGTCCTCTCGCAGCAGCATTTTTCATTTTGAGGGAGTTTCAGCGCTGAGCCTCAGACATTCACAGGGTTTAACAGGAGCAGAAGCAGAAAAGGATCCACAACACAAGGACATTCAGTCCTCCAAGATGAAGAACCCAGGACATGCAGTTCTGCTGTCAGTGTTCCTCTGTCAGATTTACATCACCTCAGCACAGGTGAGTGACATTCATCACGGGAATGAAGATAATTAAATGTGATGTGCTGCATTAGTGTTTAACCTGTGGCCTGAGAAAGGGCAGCGGATAGAGATGACGGGTGTATTCTCCAACACAGTGGACAGATCTGTCTCATGTAGGAAAGATATTAAATTCAATAGCATGAAACAGAAAATCCCCCCAATAGTATCGTGTTCAGATGAAGGCCGTCAGTGCTGTTATAATGTAGATTAAGAAAGAGTTTACTGTGTTCAATACTGTGTAATCATGTTGATCTTTAAGCCGCAGAGCTGGGTCATGCTGGTTCTGTTCGGTTATAAATATGCTAAAGTGAGCCCCGTAATGTCTAGCTGACTGAAACAGGCGTGTATAAGCGTGGGCACAGAGCAGATGGAGTGTAGGAGACTGAAGCTCACTGTGTGACTGCTGCTCTTGAATATCTGTAATGCCAGCGCTGCTCCACACAGCCGCTCTATTCAGAAGGACTGCACGGATAAACAGAGGAATGTTTTGATGTGTCCTTAAAGAGAACCCTGTTAAAGAGAACATCAACAGCTTCTGTTACCGCCCTCCACCCTCCGCCGCTCTCTCCTTTTACCAAACGTTTTTCCAGGAAGATCAAATGTTTATCCAGCTTTCAGAAGTCTTGAAGATAAAAACCTGAAACGGCGTGCCCGTCCCCCAGAAACAGCCAATCAGAGGAAGAGAAGGTCTTACATCACATTATGATGAGTTCACAGTGATTATCAATATAACATACACTGATGATGTGTGTGTGTGTGTGCGCGCGTGTGTGTGTGTGTGTGTGTGTGTGTGTGCACGTGTGTTACTACACTAAACAGGACAGTTTGTATTAGCTGGACAGGTCTTTAAAGGAGTTTTGTACTTGTAGTGTATGGATTGGTGGTCTGACAGAAGGAAACAGCGCTGTGGGTTTACATGTGCAGGTCTGGCAGCTGTCGGTGGAATTTCCGGCAGGCAGGTTTCCATGTTCAGTTCATCTCTGCTTTAGTTTTCTGTACGTGTTTTTCAGAGAGCAGCGTTACACAGGGCGCAGGTCATGGATGTGTTGTTAGCCGGGTTATTAGCTGACGTGACGTAATGCTCTGCAGCACAGTGAATGCGATGTTCTGGACTCTGCCCTGCCGCTGATCAGAGCTGTACACGTTATACTGAGGCGTGTGCGAGACCTGTCTGGGCCACCGCAGCCTGTCTCTACAGCATGTGCTACGCCTCTGAAGCTGATGGTGTTGATTGTGTGTTCTCAGGACTGTCCCAGTAAGCAGGAGCTCCAGAACTCCCTCCATCAGGCCCAGAAGCTGCTGTCGGCGCAGGAATCCTCATACCTGCAGAGTCTCCGCACACTGAAGAAGAAGCTCAGCCTCCTGCAGGACAGTGTTGTTCAGCTGCCTGCTAAACCCAGGAACCGTAGGTGTTTCACCAGACATGCGTGACGTTAGACATGCTGAACCAGACAGACGGGTCACTGAGCCGACCACACATGCTGGGTAACATGGCAATCTCAGGCGTAACCCTTAACCTGCAGTTGTGTTTTGCTCCACAGTCACCTGTCCTGCCCTGGACACTCCGGCCCATGGCAGAAAGCTGGGGAAAGTTCTGTTTCCTGGTCATGAGGCTCACTTCCTGTGTGACGCCGGCTACGAGCTGCTGGGGTCCGAGACGCGGCAGTGCAGAGACTCGCTCAGCTGGAGCGGCCAGCAGCCCGTCTGCAGAGGTACCCAGACTAACCAACGCCACGTGTGTCTGGTCCAGTAAGGTCATACTCCAGTGCACAGCACAGCACATTCCCGATCCCTCGCCGTGTGAATGTTGGGTGTGTGTTCAGGAGCGTTAGCGGTTCAGAACTGCTGCTCTTCACATTAGCCATAAGAAGAGGAGCAGAGATCCATGAACAAGGGTAATGACCCGTCTTCCAGCAAACCCAACACAGAAGAGCCAAACATGACAAATGCACGACCACAGCAGCTGCTGCAGGTGTGTGTGTGTGTGTGCAGACGTTCATCAACACACACTCAGGCATGCAGTGCATTAGTGAAGCGCAGGCGTGTGTGTGTGTGTGTGTGTGTGTGTGTGTGTGTGTGTGTGTGTGTGAGCTCGGTGTGACTCCGCTGATGCTGATTTGCTGTTTGCTTCTGATTTTTTACTCTGGTCTTTCAGAAATCGACGAGTGTCTTTCATCGCCCTGCGCCAACGCCGGCACCTGTACAGACGAGGTCAACGGGTTCAGCTGTGTGTGCCCAAAGGGCTGGGCCGGACCCGCGTGCCAGTCGCCAACACCCACCTGTCAGTTTGCATTTAATCTGACACACAGAATGATGAAGAATGTTGAATAGTAGAGTTCAGCAGTGCCCCGACACAACACACTCCTACACACACTCCTACACACACACACACACAAGCGCACGCACGCACACGCACGCACACGCACGCACGCACGCACACACACGCACACACACACACGCACACACAAACACGCGCACAC